GCCGCCGCCGCGGTAGAGCTTCTCGACCGACTTGATCGAGTAGTTCTCGGTGCCGAGGAGGAGCCCGCCCCGCACCACCGCGTACAGGTCCACCAGCGCGCCGCCGCGCAGCAGCTCGTCAACCTCCGCCTCCCGCGTCGCGTGCCGCATCGCGAGCCGCCGCAGCGCCGACACCTCGTACGCGCCATAGTGGTAAATGTGCATGCGCGGCTCGGACCGCTTGAGCGAGACCGCCCAATCGACGAAGCCCTCGAGAGCCGCCTTCTCCTGCGCGTAGCTGTGCGCCCACCACGCCACAAACTCGTCGTCGTTCTCGAAGAGCGCCGCGCCGACGCCGCCGCCGCCGCCCGCCGCGGCGCTCGCCGCGACGTGTCCGCCCCGCGTCGCCGCGCCCCACAAGTACTCGCGCCCGCGCGCCGCCTCGTCCGCGGCGCCGTTCGCCGCGAAGTCGGCGAGCCTCTCCGGCGGCGCGGCCGCCCCCTCGGGCGCATGCCCCTCCGCGAGCGGGAAGCCCTCGAGGTCGAAGAAGAGGTCGGACGGCGACGGTGGCGGCAGCAGGGCGAGGCCGGCGGCGCGGCTCCACGGGAGAAGGCGGTAGGGCGGCGGCTCGTCGGGGGCGCCGCGCGCCTGCAGCTGCAGGGAGGCCTGCTCGCGCAGCCGCGAGAGCGCCGCCCGCTCGACCCCGCCGACAGCCTGGCCGGGCGGCAGCTCCGCCAGCGCTGCCGCGCTCCGGACTCCGGCGGCGGAGAGCAGCGCCGCCTGCCGCTGCGAGAGGCGCGCCACGAGGCGGAGGTCGTCCCGCGCGAGCAGCTCCGCGTCGGCGAGCCCGCGCCACTGCCCGGCGGGCGCAGAGCGCGTCGGCGCGGCCGGCGGCTCTGCGGCGGCGTCGAAGCCGGCGTGAAAGGCGAGGAAGCGCCGCCGCAGGCTGGCAAAGTGCGCGCGGTGCTCTGCGAGCCGGAAGCTGGCGACACGGGCGGCGGAGCCGCCGAGTACGAGGGAGACCGTCTCCGGGCGCGCGCCCTGCATCTCGGCGAGCATCTCGGCGTAGCAGCACAGCTGGATCAGCTGCTGCGGCCGCACGTGCCGCGTCAGCTTTGCGTCCCACACCGTGTAGAGAGCCGGGTCGCCTCGCGAGGCCTCGTCGCGGCCGAGGAGGTCGGAGCGCACCAGAAAGTCAGCCACGCCCGCAAAGGAGCCCGCCGCCAGGGGCGCCTGGTAGATGACGTCCGGCCGCTCCCGCATCGCCTCGGCCGTCACGAGAGCCCTCTGAGCCAGCGCGTCGCCGCGCGCCTCCGCAGAGAGGTCGGCGACGCCGAGGCCGAGGCCGAGGAAAAGCTTCCGCATCGCCTCCTGCTCGCCAGCCATGCCCTTCTTCCCGAGCATGGAGAGGAACGGATCTGGCGGGTCGCGGCGAGCGGCGAGCGGGTGCGCTGGATGCTCCGCCGCGAGCCGGTCCATCCAGCTGGCAAAAGGCGACTCGTAGTACTGGACGAGGTCCGATGGCGTCCACAGGCGCGACGAGTGCGCGAGCGTGGAGCGAGCGATTGGCGCCACTAGCCTCATGTACCGCGACCGCCGGTTTTGATAAAAAAACCGGAATTAGAGAGCGGAGCAGACAGTGACGATGGCCCCCGTGCCGCCGGGTGCAACCTGTCCTATACGAGAGAGGAATCCCTGGGACCCTGTCGTGTGGGTGAACCCTGCCCAGCCCCCCTCCGTGTCGCGATGCGCTCCCCGCTCCCGTTCCCCTGTGTCCCTGATCGTCCTTCCAAGATCCTGCTCGTGCAGGTGGGGACCCTGTCCCTCTCCCACCCCTCGTTTGGCGTGCCCGTTTTATTTATTTATTTATTTATAGTGACGATGGCGCTGGCCTCATCACGCAAACGCCACTGCCGCCTCTCGGCCGTGCCGAGCGCCCACTCGCCGCCGCAGTGCCTAACCAAAACCTAAATCTCAGTGCCTCGGGGCGGCGGCTGCGCTTGCCGGACGATGACGTTCCGGGCTCCTCGGGCGCCGCAGCAAGCAGCAGCCTCAGCCGACGTGCGCACTCCTCCTTCCGCGACGACCACAGCGCACACAGGCCTGGAAGGTCTTTGCACATACATGGCCGGTTCCGCGACGCGACCACGAGTGGAGATCTCTCTCTCTCTCTCCACGAGTGTCACACGAGTTCGAGCCAGGAGGTCCATGTCACGGCACCGTCCTCCATTTGCTTCTTTCTTTTTTGTTTCCATGTTTCATCAGCTAAAAGAAATAAATAAAACAGACAAGCAAAGGGAATGTGTATGACTTGTGTATTTGTTTGCGCGAGAACTTCTTTGTTTAGCGCCAGTCCCGTGCCCAGTGCGAGGCAGCTGGCTTGCGTTCGATAATTCTTGTGATCCGTAGCTCTCCGTTGCATACTCGTACATGCATGTATGCAGACTCTCGCACGCAGGTGTGTACCAAGGGCAGCACGAAATCTGGCGGCGTGCCCTCTCTGCGACACTGCTTCGCTGCGAGGAGGCAAGCACGTAGATGTCTTGCTCGGTGACCCGGCAAATGCCGTCAAGCCCGCCAGCGACGGCGGGCCGCTCCAGGGCATCGGCTCCGGCGACCGGGGCTCCGGCTTGACGTATCGGCTTGGGAGAATGGCGCCCGGCATGCTGGCATCGCTGCAGGAGCTTGCTGCCAAGGCAGCAGCGAGTCCGAGGCAGGGGGTCTGGGTGGTGAAGGCGCAGGCGCCGCTGGACAATAGCTCCGACGCAGCGGGCGGGATAGGCCGCATGACGCCAGCCACGCTGCTGCTGCACGACGAGGCATTCGAGTTTGTGCACTTTGTGAAGGAGGTGTGTCTACAGTGCTGAAGAGCGACACGGCCTCCTCCTCACCCTCGCCTCGACGTTTGCACCGGTAGGAGGAGGCTGGGCACTCTGCGCTGCTGCGGGCGACGCTGCGGCAGCCGGCCCAGGTCGCCTACCTATATGCGGAGCATCTTCCCCCGGACAACGCCTCGCCAGAGCGCTACCTCCGTCTCTATGTGGAGTCGCACCCCGAGGCGGAGTGGTGAGATAAATAAAAACGGACACCTCTACTGTGCGATGGGTAAAAAGGAACAGGTCCCCGCCCGTGTGCGATCTTTGTGCATGGTTCTTTGTGGGTGTGGTCGGCGACTAGCCGGGGTCGTCCTCGCCAGCACTAGCCGTCTTCCACATCGGGTCCCTCGGGTTCCTGCTGCTCCTAATCTCTTCGTACGCATCCTTCTGCTGCGTCTGTGATCTCCGCAAAGTCCAAAGAGGCAAAGTCGTGCTCCCGCCTCCCTCCGTCGTCTCGCTAGTCTCTGCTTCATCATCACTGGCGTCTCTCCTCTTCCTTCTCCCCTTCTTGTATGCTTTGCACATCGCGTCGATTCCTTTTCGCGTGAGCACCACCCTGAAGCCCGCCCCAAGCGGGGGCTGAACCCCGCTCCCTAAGTCGAAGGTGCATCCTGAGGGAGGGTGTAGAGGATGTAGAGTGTAGAGCGCTGTATCTAGATAGAGCTGTAGAGATGTAGAGCGCTCTGGAGCGCTGTGGAGCTGTAGAGCTCTACATCCGCCGCGTGACGATGCGGGTGCGTTGTAGAGCGATGTAGAGGCGCTCTACAACTTGGAGCACTTGGAGTGCAGTCATTAACCTCACGCCCAGGACCGGGGAGCTGAGAAGCGCACCCAGTTGGCCGGACGCTCGGCATCGGGTTACGGGCAAGAGAGCCCTAGCCCCGGGGGTCCGCGTTCGCAGGGCCATAACACGGGTCTCCGAGGGTTGGCTCTGCGCTCCAGAGCAGGCAGGCCAGCGCCGACGCTGTCAGAACTAAGTCTAAGAACGCCGCTGTCAGAACGCCGCTGTCCGCTTTACGGCGTTTGGAGAAAGATACGCGGGCGATTGTGCTTTCTTCTTTGGTGTTAGTGCCAGTGCGCGCCAGTCCCGTGCCTAGTGCTGTGAGAGGGAGTTTCGTTGTACTTGGAGCACTTGGTGCAGTCGGCAACCTCACTCACATCCATCCCAGGGCCGGGGAGCTAAGACGACCTTAAGAAGCGCACCCAGCGGGCCGGATGCTCGGGGACGGGCTACGAGCAGGAAAGCCCTGACCCTTGGGAGGTGCGCGTTTGCAGGGAGGGGGGCATAAAGTAAACACGGGTCTCGGAGCATGCCCAGGCTTGCCTTCTTTCAAGCGGGGTGGTAGCTTGGCCGCCCCGCCACCGCCGCATGCTCGCGTGGCTACCACACCGCCGGCAGCGCGTGCGAAATGCGCTGGTGGTTGCAATGTCGACGACGTCGGCCGCCGCAGCAATGCCGCCAGCAACGCCTCGAGCCGCCTACGTCCACCTGCCCTTCTGCCGCCGCCGCTGCTTCTACTGCGACTTTCCCATTTCTGTCGTCGGGTCCAAGCCGGGTGCTGCGGATGCGGCGGCGGAGCGGTATTGCGCGCTCCTCCACCGGGAGATCGCCGCCAGCCCGAGCCGGCAGCCGGGTGCTCCGCCACTCGCGTCCCTGTATTTTGGTGGCGGCACGCCGTCGCTGACGCCGCCTCCGCTGCTGGCGGGGCTGGTCGACGGCTTGCGCGACGCCTATGGTCTCGCCGACGGGTGCGAGGTCACGCTCGAGATGGATCCGGGCACCTTCGATGTAGCGCGGCTGCGCGCCTTCCTCGAGGCAGGCGTCACGCGCGTGAGCCTCGGCGTGCAGTCGTTCGACGACAAGCTGCTAACGTCGGCAGGCCGATCCCACGACGCCGCCGAGGCGCGCGCCGCCGTCGAGATCCTCATGCAGGCGCAGTCCTCGGCCGGTAGCCCGCTTCGCTCTGTGAGCGTCGACCTGATCGGCGAGGCCGCGGCGAGAGGCGCAGCTCTCGTGCCTCGGCACGCCCCCTGAGGTGCGAGCCCGAGCCCACTAGGCGGCCTCCCGGGCGAGGACCTCGCCTCGTGGCGCCGATCGCTCAATGCGGCCGCCACGACGGGCGCGCAGCACATCTCTGTCTACGACCTTCAGGTCGCGCGGAGCACCGCCTCCGCCACCGCCTCCCTCTGTGCACCTACCCGCCGAGTCGCTCTTCCCCTCCGCCGGTCAGGTGGAGCCGCGCACTGCGTACGGCCGGTGGGCGGAGGCGGGCACGCTCAAGGCGCTGCCCGACGAGGCCCTCGCAGCGGAGATGTACCGCGAGGCGTCGGCTGTGCTGAGGGCGCGCGCTGCTGCGGCGGGGCGCGGGCAGAGGGTCCGAGACGTGTCCTAGCCAGGTCCGTGGCACGATAGGCGCACGGGCTGCAGCGGTACGAGGTCTCCTCCTTTGGGCGGGAGGGGCACCGCTCGCAACACAACTCCGCCTATTGGCGCAATGAGCCTTTCTTTGCTTTCGGCTTGGGCGCCACTTCGCACCTCGACGGCGTGCGGCTCGCGCGGCCGCGGCGAATGGACGCATACGAGGCCTTTGTGCGCCGCCTCGAGGGGGCGGAGGGGGCGGGCCGCCAGCATCGGGCTGCGGGTGGCCAGCGGTTGACTACGCGTGGCAGCGGCGGCGCGGCGGCCTCCGCCGCCGGCGATAGGGGCTTCGCGGCAGCGCAGGCGGAGCTGGGCGTGCGTGAGGAGGGCGTCGAAGCGATGACGACACTCATCATGCTGCAGCTCCGCACCACGCGGGGGCTGCTGCCGGCGGAGCTGACGCCGCGCTTCGGCGAGACGCTCGCCGCTGCGGCCGAGGGCGCGTGCCGCGACGCCGCAGCCGAGTTGCCCGCCGAGTGGTGGGTGATGGAGGCGGAGGAGGCGAGCGGCGGGGGCGACAGCGGTGCTGAGGCAGCACCGCGTTGCCGTCGCTTCGCGTTGCGAGACCCGGAGGGGCTGCTCTTCTCGAATGACGCGATTTCGACCGTCTTTGCCCGGCTCGACGAACGACTCGAGCGTGACGACGTTGGTGGGGGCGGCTTGGGTGGCTGCGAGGCGGGAAGTTAGTCGTTCCAGGGCGGTGGGGTGCCGACGCGCTAACCCTGCTGACCAAGCGCTGTGAAAGACAGGAAACACAAAAAAGTTGATGCCGGACCCCAATCCGATCGTCTCCTCGTATTTGTATGGGTGTTGTGAGCGTGTGCCTGCCGCATCACCGCGTCAGCCCGGGGAACCGCGGCGGTTCGGTTGCAACCGGGCGGGAGCTACAGCGCGCGGCGCGCGCCAGTCAGAACCACGACACAGTCGAGTGTCAGTACACAGAGCTCTATACCAGTCATGCTCATGAGCTCATGGTACTACCAACAGGCACAGACAGCAGTTCGCGCACTACATTTGTTCGCCCCGGGCTGCGCCCTTGCGCCCGCCAAAGTGCCGGGCAGGGGGCAGCTGTGGAGGTCCGTCGAGGCGGATGATCTCGGATGGCGTGATCATGGGTTCTCGCAGCCTGCCAGCTCTGGCCGTCCCGTTTTGATCTCTCGGTCAGTGGGCGCCAGCCCGCCGCCTCTGAGGGGGTCGGGCCCCCTAGACTGAAAACAAAAACAAGCTCGAAAACAGCCAAAATCAGCCTGCGAGAGAGGCACTGCCGCTGACCTCATGTGGGGACGTGTGCCGACACCAATACTGATCTAAAACCTGGAAACCCTTGTTCAAAGCCGACCCTAAGCGCCATCCTTCCTGCTCTCACCTGATGCTTGCTTCCCCGCGCCGCCTCCTTGCCTCCTTGTGCGCAAGCGGAGCGGTAGCGCCTGAGCTCCCGGGCGGCTGCGCCGGCCGCGCGGGCCGTGGGCGCTGGCCCCCTTGGGCGTATTTTCTACTCCCAATGGGCTTGGGGGCCGGGCTAGCCCGGGTCCCCTCTTGTTTTCTGTTTTCTGTTTTTCAACACGCCCGCCCGCCCACCGACCCCGAGGCTGCTCGGCCCCCCACTGACCGAGAGATCAAATCGGGACGGCCTCTCTCCGACAACTCTCAGTTCTCAAGACTCTCTCAGTGTATATGTCTCTGCATATTGTGTTGTGCCCTCGCCCGTCTTCGCCGTCAACACGGCTCAAAGGCCGGCCTCATGGTTGGTCGCCGAGCAAGAAGGCCCGCTCCTTGGCGCGCGAGGACGCTTTGCCTCGCCCCCGCGGCCTCTCCCTTCTGCACCAGACATCACACCTTTGGCTCTTCCCCTGAATCGTTCGACGCTTCCCGCGTTCCCCGCGGCGCTCGGGCTGCGGCCGACGGTTGCGCCAGTGTCGTGCGAATCACGTGGAGGAGGAGTAGGTACTCGCAGCCTGAAAGGGGCCACGCGCCGAGGGTGGGTGCCTTCATTGACGGCCACCGTGGCTGGGCGAGCAACCACCGAACACGAAGCGGCCGGCGATGGCGCCTCGGTCTCCATCCTCGAGGCAGCGGCCCCGGAGGGGCTGCGCATCTCCAGCTCCTTGGTGAGCTGAGCGTGCACCGGGGCCTCGTCATCGATGTCCTATAATCACGCACACACGCTCTCACAGAACATGTCTTGCACTTTGGAGACGGCCATGCTCTTCGTTTGGAACAAGCCATCGGGTCGTCGCTGTTGGCGTCGGCGTCGTGCTCGGCCTGCTTGACTGCCAGGAGCTCTTCGCGGAGGCGATGCATCGCGTACTCAGTCTCTGGGTCCCACGCCTGTGCATCGACCGGTGCAAGTCTGTGCTGTGAAAATTGCGAACCCACACCTCCCTGGAGCGTGCCTCGAGCAGCGCCTCGTTGGTCATCTGCGCAAACTGCGTCTGGAACCGGTGCAGCTGCTGCTTCATCTTGTTGAGCGTCGGCACCTGCTCGCGCGACTGCTTGCTCAGCTTCAGCGTCGCAGGCGATATCTGGAGCCGCTGAGCCCCGTCGCTGATGCCCGCGCCATCGGCGGACTCGGGCGAGAGACCGATGCGTGCTTGGACGGGGGAAGTCGCCGCAGCGCCGGTGCCGATGCGCTCCCGCTCGCCACCCGGTACTGCCTCGGGTGGTGCGGCATGGAGCGGGCCTGCCCGCGGGGAGGGAAGGCACGCGGCGGGGAGGCCTGCCCGATGCGCCGCCGCCGGCCGCTGCGACTGGAGTGAGGCGGCCGCAAGGGCGTGGCTGCCGGGACGAATCGGGAGTCCCTCGCTTCGAGATGCCAGGCCGCTTGGAGCGCGCGCTAGCCCACCGTGCACAAGCGGGGAAGAGCCGGCCCTGCGTGCGGGCGCCGCCAGAAGGCGCGACGATGCGAGCTGCGGGCTGAGCGCAGGAGTGGGCGCTGGCCCAAAGGCGCCCGATCCAATCAGGCTCGTCAGCTGCCCGCCCAGCGGACGCCGCGTCAGCGCCGCGCCCCCTCCGAGCGAGACGGGCTGCGGCGTCAGGCGCGGCGCGGGCGGCGGCATGGCCCCTGGCGCCGAGGCCAAGACGCGGTCCGGCGGCGCTGCCGGGCGCGGAGGCAGAGGAGCGGAGGAGGTTGCCCGCTGCTGCTCTTGGCGTGCGGGCGGCGTGATTGGCACGGCGTCGACCGCGCGTGGAGCGACATCCCCAACGGAGGTGGCCGCACTCGGGGCGAGGTCGCGCGCACGAGGAGGGCTTGGAGTCGTCACTTGCTCGGTATTGGGAGCAGGCGGCTCGCTTGGCACCTGCGAGACGGCGCTCGCAGCCGGCGCAGCCGATGCAGGCGGGCCGCTCTCGAGCAGGCCAGGCGACGCGGCCTCGACCTCACTCGAGCCAGATGGGAGGGTCTGTGCTGCCGCGTGCTGCGCTCCCAGCTCGGCGGCCGCCTGGCGGCTCTTTGCGCCGAACAGGTCCTCATCCTCGCTGTCGGCCCCGCCGCCCCCGAGGAGCAGGTTGGTGGAAAAGTCGAGCTGGCGCGCGGTCCCTGCGCCGCCGCTGCCGCAGGGCCCGGGAGCCAGCGCGGACGGCTGGCCGGAGAGGGAGAGCCCGACACTCGCCATTGAGAGCAAAGAAGCGCCGAGTGCAAGGAGAAAAAATCGGACAACGCTCCCGGCGGCGCAAGTGCTCCAAGTACCGAAACTTGTGAGATCCAGGGCGGCACCACAGCTTCTCCAAGGCGGCGCAAACAGCGAGGAAATAACTACGGGCCGCCCTTACCTCGGAGAGGAAACGACAAACGTGTACCCCAGAACGCACTTGCGACTTGGACTTGCTCGTGGCGTCCGTCGACCACCCACTACACTTGACGCCCCGTCCCGGCCACCTCCCCTGTCCGCCACGCGGCGAGGAGCGAGGCTCTCGCCTCCCTAAAAGCTCCTCTTCGGCCGCCGCTCGCGCTCTCCCGCTCTCTCCACCGTCATCGCTGCCGGTTTCGACGGTCAAGCGACGAGGCGGATGGTCCAGTCAGCCGCCATCGGCACGCCCGGCTTGCGCACGACAGTGCGGCCCGTGGCCTCGGACCACGTCGCCTCCAGCTCGCGCGTCTCGCCGCCGGACTCGAGCAGCACCTTCCCGGGCGGCTTTGTGCCGAGCAGCTCCAGCCGCTCGAGCATGTTCGGCGGCGTGAATGCGTCCGACGCGTGCACCGCCGTCGAAGTGAGCACTCCGGCCGCGAGCTCGTAGCGGCGCTCCGCGTAGGCGCCGTCGAGGTACTCGAAGCCGTCGCCCGCGTCGAGGTAGAGCGTCCCGGCGGCGGCGCCGTCCGCGTCGGGCGCGACGACGAGCGTGTACGGGTCGAGCTTCATCAGCGACGAGGCGCGCCGCAGCCGCATCTGGCGCGGGAGGATGGAGCCGCCGCGCTGGAAGACGGGGACGGCGCCGAGCGGCGCCTCGACCGTCGGCGTGGCGGGCGCGGCGTGCTTGGTGCCGTCGCGCACCGCGTACCACGGCTGCGAGCCGGGCAGGTAGACGGGCGCCGAGGTTGCGCCCTGCTGCGTGACTGGCCGCACGAGCAGGTCCGAGCCGACGAGCCACTGGTCCGACATGTCCCACGTCTTTTCGTCGGCGGGGTAGTGCACCCAGAGCGGCCGCATCGTGGGCGTGCCCGTCTGCTCGGCGTGGCGGAAGACGGTGTACCAGTAGGCGAGCAGCTGGTACCGCTCCTTCGCCACCTCGCGCAGCGTCTGCGTCGTCTCGTCGCCAAAGGTCCACGGCTCGCGCCGCGCGGAGTCGTGGTGCGCGTGGCCGCGGAAGAAGGGGGTGTAGGCGCCCGCCTCGAACCAGCGCGTGAAGAGCTCCGCGTCCGGGTCGCCGTACCCGCCCCCCTTGCCGAGGAAGCCGCCCACGTCCGCGCCCGAGAAGGTGATGCCGCACAGACCGAGCGTGAGCAGCATCGGCACCGACGCGACGAGGTGGTCCCACTTGCACGCGTTGTCGCCGGTCCAGATGGCGCCCCAGCGCTGCGAGCCGGCGTAGAAGGAGCGCGAGAGCACGAAGGGCCGCTTGTCCCGCTTCTCGTTGCGCTGCAGCAGCCCCTCCGCCGTGGCGCGCTGCATGTACATGCCGTACAGGTTGTGCCACTCGCGGTGCTCGACGCCGGAGAGCGACTTTGCGTCCTTCTGCATCGACACCTCGGGCCCGTTGAAGACGGAGGGCTCGTTCATGTCGTTCCACGTGTACAGGCTCGGCGTCGACCCCTCGTACACGTCGTAGGCGAAGCGGCCCGCCCACCAGTCCCGCACCGCCGCCGAGGTGAAGTCGAGGTACGCAGAGTCGCCCGGCCAGCACCAGCCGTTGAACTCGGCGCCGTCCTTGTTTTGGATGAAGAGCTTCTTCTCGTGCGCCTCCTGGTACACCTTGTAGTTCGAGTCGCGCTTGATGTGCGGGTCGACGATGGTCACCATCTTGCGGCCGGTGGCGGCGAGCTCGGCCTGCATCTCCTTAGGCTTCGGGAACTTGAAGCTGTCCCACGTGAAGTAGCGCTTGCCGTCGGTGTGCTCGATGTCGAGCCAGAGCACGTCGTACGGCAGATCGAGCTCCTCGAACTGGCCGTGCACGTACCTACTCATGGTCACTCCTCCCGGATCACTCCCGTGAGTGAGTCGGCGCCGCTCGGTGCCGGCCGTGCACGCACCGGA